GTAGAATCGTACAAAAAAAAAAATAATAATAAAAAATTCGCAAAACTAAGTAGCTTGGACTAAACATTGCTTACCCAATACAAAGGCCAAAAGGCACACCAATAAGAAGTACTTCACGATCGCAAAATGTTAGGTTGGTTTTCGCGTACCTGAAGCATTTTCAAGCATAAATCTACAATTTTTCTTGAACAATAGTTCGTGTATGAAGACGGAGATCAAGCCATCAATAAAGTTACTCAATCGTTTTACAACTGAAAACTTCCTTAAAAATTACAGTTACATTGATTTCAGTTCTTCGTAATGAATAAAATGCATTTACAGGAACAGAAAATTTGATTACAGCTCACAATTTTAAATTGTCTAAACTCAATTGTCAAACAATTTTAATCAACTTGGACATAATTTGCATTTTAATAATGAAAATCACCACTATAATATGATATTCATAGATATGTGCCGTCATTTTATTGCTTCCTCATTTTAATTGATAGTAGTAATTGCAATGAGTAGTAAATGGCGAACATAAAACCGCGACGAGTATTATTCGAATATAGTCTAGTGTGATTTTTGAAAAAAGGCTCTGCATAAGAAGCAAGGGGCATTTTGGGGTAAAAGTTGGGAACCAGGCTTATTAGCATAATTTTGGGATGCTGAATCTGATTAACCCGGTTCCCAAGCGAAATCTTGCGTTTTTAACGGTCTAATTTGCAAAAAACCAAAATGGCCGCCAGATTTCCTATTTTCTGCAATATCTCTAGAACTAGACAGGCGAATATGACAAATGAAGTGTCTTTACCTATATTTTCAGGGTCGAGGAACATTATTAAGATGTTTCTGTTAGAATTAGATTTTTGCAATTTCCCTAAATATGCAAATTAGGATCGCCATTACTGAAAAACCGTTTTACTTCTGTATCTCTGTAACTAGGCAAGCAAATATGACAAATGAAGTGTCTACACCTATGTTCTCAGGGTCAGGGAATGTGATGAATCAGATGTTTTGTCTGATGGGTAGCACTGACTCTGTGAATCGTGTCCGAGTAGCACCTTTTATTGTTTCTTCCCTGTATCTGTCAAACACATGTCAGTCTGCTGATAGTTAGAACTTGCCTTCAGAACTGCTCTTACGTTAACTAGTCAAGCAAACATGACACATGAAGAGCCCACACCCATGTTTTCAGCATTAGAGAAAGTGGTTAATACATTTTCACTATAACCAAATCAGCAATAATTGCTACACTGTCACACTGTAGCAATTATTCGAATCTGAATTGAATTTAGCAATTAAATACTGCGCTGCCATTGGGATGTAAACATATTGGATCACACAACTGCCCCTTTTAGCTAGATTTAAAAAAAGATTACCTTATTAATGCAATGGAAGGATTTGCTGAATCAAGTAATTCATGTGATGCAATGTACAGACTTGATATTTAAAATGGATTTTTTTCAAACATATTTTCTTTGATTTTTTCCCATATATTAGTAATGGATGAAAAAAACACTTGTTATCATGTTCGATATGGCTTTAATAAATCAACCCATGTGAAAACATCATCAAAAATTTAATTCAAATATGTATTCAAATTAGCATTATAAACAGCACATGGATAATTTTATAGCTGATAACAACGAGGTATTAAATTCTTATTAACTCGATATTATCAAGAATATCAGTTGGTAAGGATTTTCTCTTACACAAAAGAATCATCAAGACAAGTGTGAAAAATGGAAACTGATAACAACGCCTGCAGCCTCTTCTAGCTGCAACCAGAGCCCTCACTCAGCAAGGGATCCATGCAGAGAGGTTTCTGAGAGTTTGATCCAGTATTGTGTTACACGCATTAGTCAGAGCTTGCCTAAGCTTGTGCCGATTTGAAGGCTGGACGGGTACATTCTTGATTCTGCTAGCGATTTATGCCCACAGGTTTTCTATAGAATTCATGTCAGGGGAATTTCATCAGCCAAGACAACTGGTTTACCTCTTGGTTTTGCAGAAAAGCAGTTATTGCATGGGCACGGTGTGGTCGGACATTGTCATCTTGCAGGATGAAGTTGTCCTGGAAGTACCTTCTTGCAAATTGCAAACAAGTATTCTCTAAAATGTCCCTGTATTTTATCTGGTTGAGTTTTCCATCAATTGCCACCAATAGAGTTTTGGCTCCAGCGTGGAAACCGGCCCATACACAGATACTGCCCTGGCCACAAGTCACTGTAGGGTGACACAATCCTCGTGCAGTAACTCGTCTGGAAGACTACTGACTCTGATTCAGCCATCGCGGTGGTGGAACTCAAACCCTGCCTCATCTGTAAAAATCTACATGAACCCAGTGCTGTGGCTGGAACCGCAAATGGCGTCTAGCCCACCATGTTGCTCTGTTCATAGAGGTAACCAGCTAAAAGTAGCCTTGCATTCACTAGAGTTCTAGAAACATGCTTTTAAATGGTAATTTGCCACTCATTTTGTAGAGCAAGAGTTGTCTTTGTTCAGTAGTTGCGACATAACTGCAGAAGCAAGCCGTCTTCCCTTTTGGTGGTGACTTCATGACGTCCTGGCCGTGGTCTCTAGAATAATGGGGGGGGGGGCCTTGCATCCGCGGACTCCCCCTTCAAATAATCCTGGATCCGCCTCTGCTCACCTTGCCTTATAATTGATAGGCAAGCACTGGCAATTTCACTGGGAAAGCCTGACAATGCAGTGACCTTTGGTAGTTTGGCTGACATGTACGTAAGAGCAGTTCTGAAGGCAGATTCTAACTATCAGCAGATTGACCTTGTGTTTGACAGATACAGGGAAGAAACAATAAAAGGTGCTACTCAGACACGATTCACAAAGTCAGTGCTACCCATCAGACAAGGCATCTGCTTTATCACATTCCCTGACCCTGAGAACATAGGTGTAGACACTTCATTTGTCATGTTTGCTTGCCTAGTTACATAGATACAGAAGTAAAACGGTTTTTCAGTAATGGCGATCCTAATTTGCATATTTAGGGAAATTGCAAAAATCTAATTCTAACAGAAACATCTTAATAATGTTCCTCGACCCTGAAAATATAGGTAAAGACACTTCATTTGTCATATTCGCCTGTTTAGTTCCAGAGATATTGCAGAAAATTGGAAATCTGGCGGCCATTTTGTTTTTTTGCAAATTAGACCGTTAAAAACGCAAGATTTCGCTTGGGAACCGGGTTAATCGGATTCAGCATCTCAAAATTATGCTAATAAGCCTGGTTCCCAACTTTTACCCCCAAATGCCCCTACTATTCATATTTTGTGAAAAACCCACTAGACTAATATCACCCTAAACACTGTCGTTAGAGGGAAAGGAACCGAGATAGCGCTAATTTTAACCGCTGCTACGGGGTTAGTTACAGGGTTAGTTGGGTTGGCATTGTTTTAAATGCTTTTACATGTACACGTAGACTTCCTCAATTAACATTTGAATGGACCCCTCTAGCTGACACAACTTGAGAAATGCCACCGTAACTGGTACCTAGATCAAATTTTCGTTCAGATTTTGAAATGTTTGAAGGACTATATAATAATCTGACATTTTTTAACCCAAGAAAAATTTGAATTTTTATGATGTGAGATAATTGGGACTTTGAAAAGACATCTCAACAATATTTGAATAATATCCCAGTTACAAAGAAAGATAGGCTAACAATGTGAGTGCAACCTCCACCTGAGGTGTGCAAGCAGCTGAGTTATCCTCAACGAGAGCGACACGATAGACCCTGAAATATCGGAGTGCAAAAATTAATATAATATATTAATATAATATATTAATATACAATATCGAAGTTCAAATTAACTTGTTTTAACTATTGATTAAAAGAGGCTGTTACTCACTGAGAATTAAATCGGAGTCCAAGTGATTCCAAACTTGGAGTCCAGCAGTGGTGCCTAAATTAAATTCCCAATAGGAGTCAAGTTGACTCCGATGGAGTAACGCCATCCCAGACCCCACAGGAGGGTCACAATTGACTCCATTCACACAGCCCTTCATCCCTTGATTTATCTCTACAAAAGAGTCACCATGACAGCATATTTAGGAATTTTTGACTCCTTGGCACATTATTAGAAAAAAACAACAACAACAGTGCCAAGCGGGGAGACAGCAGGTACCGTTTATTTAAGACTGGTATGTCCCACGTCCACCCGCTCTGGATACGGACACCCTAACCACAAGGCCATCCGGTCGCATATGGTGTTGCCATAGCAATAACAAACAGTTGTAAATCTGGTAATAAACAGCGTGATTATCTGGTAAGGCCACACTTTTTTATTTTTATGGATGACATCCTCCGGGGACCCCGAAATCGGTGCGAGAGAGCGAATAAAAAAAACAGTCCAAACAATAAAAAAAATACTAGGAATGCTCTCAGTACACAACTGGAAACACCAATTTACCACAGAAACACGTAGGCCTATCAAACTAACAGTATGTCTTTATCCATGCTTTCAAAATATTAAAGCATTGTGAATAGCCAACTTCGTAGAATGGTTAAAAAAAGTCATGAATAGATATGCTGCATATCACCAAATCTATTTAAGGGGGGGGGGGGGGGGATTTTTTTTCCGGAGAACGGACAAAAATCGGTGCGTGCGCAGGATGTCATCCATAAAAATAAAAAAGTGTGGCCTAATAAACAGCGGAGTCAACTTGACTCCTATTGGGAGTTATTTTAGGCACCACTGGACTCCAAGTTTGGAGTCACTTGGACTCCGATTTAATTCTCAGTGAGTAACAGCCTGTTTTAATCAACAGTTAAAACAAGTTAATTGAACTTCGATATTGTATATATATATATATATATATATATATATATATATATATATATATATATATATATATATATATATATATACCAATGACTGAGCATACATATATATATATATATATATATATATATATATATATATATATACCAATGAGTGAGCATACATATATATATATATATATATATATATATATATACCAATGAGTGAGCATACCTCCCCAGTGACATGTATTGGCGGGTCAAACCTACAACCTGGAAACAAAACTTGCTGACCTGTATACCAACACTTCACATAAAGGGTGTGGGCAACTGAAAGTCCGGGCCAGTAATAAGTGCACGAGTTCTGCTTGCAGAAACACAGAAAACCACTTTTTCATGCATAAAACCAACTATGGCCGATAAAGTAATGTTTATACTGACAAAGGATGATGAAAACTGTTCTCTCCACGCCGCCGTCTGCTCACTGCCACAAGTACTGAAACGAGACTTACTGTCCTGCGAGCGAAAAAGAGTCGGTGAAAGGGGTAAGCCAGACACTGGCCCCCGGTAATTTGACTCTGATTTTAGAGTCAGATTGACTCAATGAGAGCCAGGGGTGATTGACTCTGATAAGAGAGTCTAAAGACTCTGGTAGTGAGGTAATTTGACCCTTATATAGGAGTCAAATTAACTCCATGAGGGTCAAGGGGTGCTGGACTCTGCCTAGAGAGTCAAATGACTCCAATTTTATTCTCAGTGCTATGATTAACATGTAAAACTGCTGATGATATTCCTTACTAAGAGACCATTTATTACACTGAAGTTCTTTTATACATTCGTGCGCCATATCAAGACTAGTTTTTATGTTAAAAAATCGGCTGTTAATTCATCATTTTCCGTGCGATTTTTTCCAACATCGCTTAAATTACGTGCGGGCGCCGTGTCTTTCCTCCAAAATGACGTTGAGGTCAGGTAGGGATTTTAAGTCAGTTTGTCGGTTGAAAATTACTCATACGGAGCCTTGTACCTACATGCATTTTTTTTTTTTTTTTTTTTTTTGTACTTACATGTATTCAGCAAGCAGAGCTTTTCGTTTTCAGTCTGGCTGTCCTTCCTGAAAAGAACTAAGTAAATGCAAGCATCGTAGAGGGTACAAGTATATACATTTAGAGTTGCGAGGTGTGTATAAGTCGCGACATTCTTCCCTTTCAATTGCACAACAGAAGCGATGTCGGTTTTGGGGATTGGATCCTTGCTGATGTAACAATAACATTTTTTTTTTGTATTTGAAAAAGAGCAACCTGGTATCAGTTGTGAATAAACAACATGTATTCAGCAAGCAGAGCTTTTCGTTTTCAATCTGGCTGTCCTTTCTGAAAAGAACTAAGTAAATGCAAGCATCGTAGAGGGTACAAGTATATACATTTAGAGTTGCGAGGTGTGTATAAGTCGCGACATTCTTCCCTTTCAATTGCACAACAGAAGCGATGTCGGTTTTGGGGATTGGATCCTTGCTGATGTAACAATAACATTTTTTTTTTTTTTTGAAAAAGAGCAACCTGGTATCAGTTGTGAATAAACAACAAGCAAAATGGGTCAATATGTATGCATTTGGTCGAACTAAAGCAAATATAAGGGTTATTGTAGTCAACTCTGTTATATGAAGTGATCAATTCGGTCTTTAACGCATATTTGCTCTCTCCCTCCTGCTTAATTCCGTGTATATAAGCTGGGGTCTCACCTATGAAATTTTAACCAGTAAGATTCATTTAAATAGTATCCAGAACGGTTGGGTCGATGCCAAACCGCCGTTCCCCTCCTCGCAAAAACTTTTCACTGGTCACGGTTCTGTGCGCATGGGTCCACAGAGGTTCGTCAGATCGTCTCCGAATCGAGTTTAAAGTCTTCGAGGTTCGAAATTCGAATACTGCTCCCCATCAGTAATGATTTTTCTTTTACTAGCCTCTCAAGTTTTGTCTCACGAAGATAAGCTATCTCTCTGTGAGACAGTCGAGCAGTCTTTTTTTCGTATCCGAATCGTCTCAGCACTTCATCGTTCGTAGTCCTTGTACCAGCTGATATAAATAACACACCGATAGCACCATAATTCAAAACTTTCTAATCTCTTCCTGTTTGATTTATTCACTACCCAACATTCCGCGCCATATAAATCTATCGAAAAAAAAACTAGAAAGTTGAGCAGTCTCTTCTTTGTGCTAAGAGAAATGTTTTTGTACTTCCACACCTTTGGTAGGACGATTGTGGCACTCTTCGCGATTGTAATTAGTTGTTTAATTTCCGGAGTGTCATCGTATATTTGTCAGTGAATATTCCACCGAGGTAGGTGAACTGTTTCACATTTTCAGCATTGATTATGATATAGCACTAATGAACGGGTTGAACAATACAGTACGTCTTAGTTTGAACTTATTAAAATGGCAGATGCAATATTCAACTGGAATATTCCAACATTATTAGCAAGAGTGTAGATGTTGGACGTCTCATCTCCGGTGGTATTTTTTCTTTTTCTTCGTATTCAAAATACCTTCATATTTTTTTTCAATTTATCATTGAAATCTCGTAATTCATTTACATAAAAAAATGAAAATCTCACGTTTCATCACATATACCTAGAGTCATCGTGAAGAAAGTCTGACATTTGCAACACTATTTGTTTATTCTTCAGTCTTATTTGTTCCCTTTGTGGCGCTATGGGACTTCCTCAAACATCACTGGATGGCGGGGTTCACTTTAGGTTTGTCATTGAAAATAAAGACGACAATAATACAGCTATTATTATCCTCTACAAAATGTGTAGAATAAACCAGTCGACATTGTCGTTTTTTTCTCTCTCTGGCCCTGTATAAAGACAACGATTTGTTACTGAATGTAGGGAAGACTAAGGAAATGATTGTTGACTTCAGAAAGAATAGAAATGTGAAAGAACCCATTCATATCAGTGGCACTGCAGTAAAGCAAGTAGCCAATTTTAGACTACTGGGGGTAGAATTCAATAGCTCACTTACATGGAAGGACCACATAGACAAACAGTTGAAAAAAGCGAGGCAAAGGGTATATTTTTTAAGAAAGTTGAAGGATTTTACTTCAAATGAAATGATTTTAGCTAATTTTTACAAATGTGTCATAGAAAGTATAATAACATTTGCAATCATAGTATGGTATGGGCGGGCCACTGTAGAAGAACGCAAGCGTCTAGATATGGTCACATCAACGTGCGGCAAAATCATCGGTGTGGAACTCCCCTCTCTAGGTGCCATCTATACTAACAGATCAGTAACAAAAACAGAGAAAATCATGTCTGACTATACCCACCCCGCACATGGGCTTTTTAAATTTTTACCAAGCAACTGCAGGCTTTTAACTTTTAAGGGATCTAAAAGGTTTTTAAAGAGTTTTTACCCATCTGCTGTGTCTCATTTTAACAACAAAAATGGAAATTTATAATTTATTTATTTATAATTTGTAACCTGAATAGCAGTCCAATTTCCGTTTTTATATGAATTTTATATTTATATATTAATGGCTGAATAAACTCTTATCTTATCTTATCTTATCTTAAAGCAATTTTGGTTTACTACCAGCAATGGTAGGCTAATACAGCTCCGAAACATAAGTTATAGTCTTAATGTTAGTTGAGGGAAAATTCTATTGTGAGATACGGGTATGTCAACACAGTAACAAAGGTCCGTCTTATTATTCATTTATTTAATATATGTTTAATGATTAATTTGTCTTTCTAAAACAGAATCACCCCTTCGTAATGTTATACGATAACTGCCTAACAGCGTTCGAGCTGGAGAAGTATGTGCTAAGAATGGACAAAACTGGCACTTGGTGGGTCCAAGATTTTCATCAGCGAAATGTATTACAAGCATGACACAGGATTCTGGGCACTGCTGTGACAGATTACAGGCCCGTAGCCCGGGGGGGGGGGGGGGGGGGGGGGGG